ACCAACCTCTCCACTCATGCCCTTCGCTTTAGCCAGGCAAGCCCCAACCTCCAGCCAACCAACCATAATTAAGTACTCAGTACCTCTGTTAAATGGCCATTCAATAAAAGTCTGGGTGAAACCTTAACAAAACAGATAAAATCACCAGGGCTAGAGCCTTTTTAGGTTGAGCATCGAGGGTGAATTGGGGTTGAGTCGTAGACCGACGGATCGGCAACCGACCTGTTATCAGTGATAACAGAAGAGTAACCCTTTTGACGAAAAAGCTTGATCAGATCAAGCCTTCAAATGATAACACGGAAACCTGCATCACAGTACAGGCTAAGGAAGAGTACTATTCATGCTTGTGCCAAGGGGAGAACATCCCCCTAGTCGCGTCCTAGCTCCTCTACGAGTGCCAAGTCACTGAGTACCTCCTCTAATCAGGACAGATCTGCAACGTAGTTGCTAGATGAGAAATATTCTAACTCCCCAAATTCTACAAAATTTCGGCAGCGATTCCCGTAGGAAAAGTTCATTTTCAGAATTTCTATGAGTCCAAAAATGACTAACTCCTCCAGATTTGTAGAAATTTTGGCAGCGCTTCCCGTAGGAACAGGAGGCTGCCAAGACTTATACGAAGCTGAAAGATGAAAAGACAAGCAAACTACACTTGGGACTAACTACTGACACGTGCTTGATGAATCAGGATCAATGACGACTAACACAACCTCTGGATGAGACCGTGGGCTAGCATTGGGCCTAACCCCTAGCAGGGTCAGTCCTATCCTCATCCCAAGTTTTCCCTCCCAACATCCATCTGACCTACCTATGGCTCCCGCACTTGGCGAGCATCTAAAGCAACTAACCTATCGAAAAGACACCCCAAGTGAGATTCTACAATCATACATGAGCATGCATCTCCCCACATACATTTGCCCAGGTAGTTCGTTAGATCACTCAGTTGTTCCCTTTCAATAACCCCCTCACTTATGGCATAGGATCAGACAAGGCTCTAACTTAAGGGTATGTCCAACTTGCCTAAGTAAAAGTACGCACAACTGGACTGCCCTAACTTAAGGGTGTGCCCAACTCCAGATAAACTCTAGTCATAAAGCATATGACCAGACCGCCCTAACTTAAGGGTACGCCTGACTTCTGCTTGAACTGACGACATGAAGCGTAAAGCTAGACTGCCCTAACTTAAGGGTATGCCTAGCCAGCTTTACACAAAGTTACATAGGGCATAGGATTAGACTGCCCCAACTTAGGGGTGTGCCTAACCTGCCTAGAACAAGCACGAACGACGAATGGTCAGACCGCCCTAACTTAAGGGTACGTCCAACCTACAGAACAAACGCAAACGACGAATGGTCAGACCGCCATAACTTAAGGGTACGTCCAACCTACATCACGTCAACGACAAGAGCCTATCACCAGGCCGCCCTAACTTAAGGGTACGCCTGGCTGGCCTAAACAGTATAGTTACATAGGGGAGGATCTGCCTGAACAAGTACAGCGACGTGTGACTAAGCCGCCCTAACTTAAGGGTACGCTTAGCCTCCGTAACGACAATCATATGAGAATAACCATTGATACTTACACAAACTATATGTGTTTCTCTCTTATTAGGCAGATGATCGGACTTACCCAACTTAGGGAGACATCCAATCCTGCCTTGTGTTTAGAAGGGAAAATAAAACAAGTTTATACTAACTCTCTGATCCTTTGTCTTGTCATGAGCATAAGACCGAGCCGCCCTAACTTAAGGATACGTTCAGCCTGCCCGGGTTACCTTCGTTATATTCTTCATCACTTTTCTCCTCTTCTCGTTCTACCTGACTTACTGACTGTCTTTCCCAACTTAGGGTGCCCGGTCTGCCAGATGATATAGGTTCGTAATATATATCAAAATTGTATACTTGGGTTGATCATTATTTTCATGGCTTATGACTGAGCCGCCCTAACTTAAGGGTACGCTCAGCCTTATGTCTGTGTCCCCCTCAAAAGAAAACACACACAGAGCTGAGTCCACGCAACTTAGAGTGTTCCCAGTCCTGTTTTCAGCAACCCATAAAGAAACACCAGGATTTTGGGACCTCCCAACTTAGGGTGCCCATCCTCCTGTTCAAAAATCCCAAAAAAAAACAGCGACTGGTCTATCCAACTTAGGATAGGCCCAACCCTCAAAACCATAGAAGCAACCCAGCAAACATAAAATAAACACAGCACTGAACCCACTCAACCTAGAGGGGTCCAGCCTTTGGTTGGCCCAGTCAATACATGTAATACAACCTTCAGCCCACCTTCCCCCAGTTTAACTCTGTCTGAATTTACTCAAAAGATCTGAACTCTCATATACACTTGTTGATTTACCTTTTAGAATGCATGTCCTGACATACATAGCAAAGCAAAAAGTAATATCCTTACATAGTTAACTTCAGATAGCCAGGGATAATAAATAGGAAAAGGGATCACACAGGTTAACGAGATTATACCTGAAGTTCCCTGCCTCTATAACCCCACATGGGTTCCGGCAGAGCTCCAGCAATCGGTGGGGCAACCTCCCACAGAGGCCTTGGCGCGGTCCTACGGGTTTCAATCCCGCCTGCCGCCTTCCTCTCGTAACCCCAGACTAGACTTAGAATAAGAAGGGCAGCGAAAAAAAGTTCAGACTCTCGAGATCCCGGGGAGGTGCGCTCAATCTCACTGTGAGAGGGCCTTGTAGCCTTCAAGTCCTGAGGGTCCCACAATGATGGCCAGGAAAACGCAGCAGCAACCAGTCCCAACCTCGGCTGGACACTGCATCCACAGTCCACAACTGCAGTCTCTCGAAGGTAATGATACAGCCACCGTAGTAGCAGCGTTCGATGTGCATAGCAGCTGTCCGCAGCGGGGGACCACGTCCTACTCAGCAATAGTGCTTTTCGCAGTGCCCAACATAGTAACAACCCCCAACCTTGGCGTAGTGGCAGTCTGATTCAATGGCAGCGGTCACTGCAGTATAGTCCTAAAAAAATTGTTATGGCGACAAATAAAAACCCCACACAGCTCGTTGTATAGTCGTGCTGCAGCCGTGATCTGCCCAACGCTTGCAACCCTTGACAGACAGTAGCAGCCATATGCTACACTCGTAGTAAGGCAGTGCACCGACAGCCCCCGCCTGTGCCACAAGAGGCACAGCAAAGCCCGCAGCCGGTACAGAGTAAGAGTTACCGCTTCTTGATAGGTGTAAGGGGCCTGCCTTATATAGCTCAAGGTACAAGCCTGTAGTGCCGTCTAACCAGGCTCAACAACCTGTGGTCCGCGTGCTGCGAAAGCCCGATCCAACTGCAGCAACGCTACTTAGTTACATACAACAGTCGTACTCCGCTGGCTGTCCTCAGCCGCAGCCTGTCTCTACGGTTAGTCATCACTTCCTCACGACCATCACTAG